GGATGAAGTCTCCAGTCCCTCCAAAAAGGAGAGATTTGTCTCTTCAGAGGGCTTCAAAAACAAAGACTGCAGGCCCTCCAAGAAGGAGAGCATTGGGTCTCAGAAGGACTTCATGGATAAAGACTCCAGGCCCCTGAAGAAGAGGAGAATTGTCTCTCTGGAGGGTTTCATATCCGTTGTGGGGAAGGAGACAGAAGGCGAGGGTCCTGCTGATGGCCTGGGGAGTCCGGGCTGTCAGGACATGGAGAGTGGGCCCAAGCAACACATGCCAGAGCCCAGTATTGACCTGGGCATAGGGCCAACCTTCCCACTCAAGAGGAAGAAGAAGAAAAAGAAAAACAGGAGCAAAGATAGGCCATTGGAGAGGACAGAAGAGCGCTGCTCTGGGTTGCTGTCACTGGACAGGTGAGGGGCACATGAGAGCCTGAGGTCAGGCTCTCTGGGCCGTGGTTAGGGGCCTCTCATCTTCCTGAGGATGGGATGTGCCTTGGCATGGATCCAGCTGGAGCACCCACTTCCTTGGGGTGGGTTCGCCCCTCCCCGAGTGCAGTGCAGGTGTCCCTGAACCCCACTGCCCTGCAATGCTCAGACTCTTCCCTGCTCTGGTCTGGCTGGAGCAAGCTGACCCTGCTGCCTTCCCCAGCTCCAGGAGGGCTGAGCTGGAGCCTTGTGAGACACCCTGGAGCGTGGAGGCTGGAGAGAGGAAGCACCGCAAGCGCAGGCGGATGGAAAGCGTCAGCAGCCCGGCCACCAACGCTGTCCCTGCCGCCACCACCACCCAAGGTGTGACCGTGTGCCCTGTCTGGTGCCTGGCAGGGCTGAGCCAGCCTCTCACCTGCCCACGGGCCCCTCAGAGCACTGCTGTGCATTCCGCAGCGCTTGCTGGTCCCACAGCAATTCCCTGGCAATGCCCATCATCCTGCCCCCCATCCTGGGCTGCCCTGCCCCAGACCCGTCTGTGGGACAGCCCAAGAGCCCCCAGCTGTGCTCTGGAGGAGGGGTGGGGATGGACTCCTTGAGGGGTGACAAGTTGCCCGAGCAAAGGTCCTGTTGTTCCCAAACACCTTGTGCCATCAGTGTCTCCTGGGGTAAGGTCTGCCTTGGAGAGGGAGGGACGCAGGAGCTCCCCCAGCATGTCCTCACCCCGCCTGTTTCTGTAGTGGCAGCTCGTGCCAAGGGCAGCCAGACTGGAGACGAGAGATGCACCCTGGCTGCCCTGAGCCCTGCAGCCAGCAACTGGGCTGGCACAGCCCCTGGGGGCCAGGAGACCAGCGTGGTGGGCGAGCTGCTCCAGGACTCGTTGGACAAGGCTTATGGCAAACAAGGTAATCCTGGCTCACCTGGGTGGGCGAGCAGCCACACAGCCCCCCTGCCCCAAGCCCTGGATACAGGCAGAGCCCTCTGAGTTCTGCCAGGGCCTGAGCTCCCCCTGCTCCGGCACAGGCAGTGACAGGGCTCCTGGAGCCAGGCAGGTGAACCCAGCTGGGGCTGTCAGGGATGGCACAGGGTGGGGGGCTGAAGCGAGGGGCTCCAGCCTCGGGCCTGGTGGGGGCCCAGTGCAGGCAGGACACAGCCCTGTGCTCCTGCTGACCACGCTGCTCTGCAGTCCTGACCTGGCAGGGCGAGGTTTCGGCTGTCAGCCAGGATGCCATTCAGGACACGGCGTTGGCCCGGAGTGAGACCATCATCGATGAGTGGGACCAGGAGTTCGACAAAGGAAAGGTTGGATGCTGGCTGTGTGCTGGGCTGGGGCGGGTGGGAGGAGGCTGGAGACTCTGCACTCTGACCTGAGAGCCTGCCTGCCTCTGCACAGGTAAAGAAAATGAAAAAGATGAAGCAGGAGAGGAAGAGAGACTCGAATCCCTTCCAGAAGTTGCAGAACAAGCGCAACTTCTGGTTGATGTCACATCCTGCCAAGATGGCCAGCCTGGGCCACCGGCTCTCGGGTGAGTGAGCTGGGGGGCACAGTGAGCCCAGGGGGAGGAAGGGGGTGGCAGCCTGGTGGGGGCTGACACTGCTCCTTGCCTCACAGGTTGAGATCTGCATCCCCCAGACAGCTGATGGGGCAGTCCCAGGCGAAGGACCAGGGGCAGCACTGTCCTGGGAGCTGTTGGTGGACCATGCTCAGAGAGCGGCCCCTGTCCTGGGGTCGTGCCTTCCCCTTCTGGGAGCTTCTTTTCCACCTGCGGAGGAGCCTGCCCACGCTGCCGTGCCTCCAACGTGCCTTGGCCAGGCTCCTCCTCACTTCTCCGTGCCTCTTCCCCTCCTTTCCCCAGCCCGCACCTGCGGGGGCTCCTGGGAAGTGCCTCGAGACCGTCCGTGCTGCTCCGTGTCAGCGTGTCTCCCGCCGCCCCTCGCCTTCCCGGACCGCTCCCTGACCCCCATTCCCTGCGCAAGCCGCATTGGAAGCCTGCCCTCCGCTCGGCCGGGACCCGCGCTGGCGCGGGGGGCAGCGGTGGGCTCCCCGCGGGGATGGGGCGCTGAAGGACTGGACTGAACGGAATAAATCCCGGTGTTTGTCCATCGGCACCGAAGGGTTGGACCGAACGGAATAAATGCCGGTGTTTGTCCATCGGCACCGAAGGGTTGGACCGAACGGAATCAATCCCGGTGTTTGTCCGTCCATCGGGAGCGGCGGGAAAGGGGCGGGGCTGCATGGGGGGCGGGGCCGGCGTGGCTCCGCCCCCGTCCCCACGTGACCCCGTCCGTGTCCGCGGCGCGCTCGTCACGCGGGCGGGGCCGGAGAGCGGCGGGATGGAGGAGGAGGAGGGCGGCGGCTGCGGTCAGTGCGGGCCGGGGGTCCCGGCACCCCGCGGGACGGGGCGGAGGGCTCGGGGTTCGGGGGCGCCTGGGCCGGGGCGGAGCGCCGGGGTTCTCCGCGGTCCGCGCTGGGGCGGAAGCGCCTCTCCCGGGCGGGCGGGAGCGCTTGGGCCGGGCCGTTCCCAGGTGCGGGGCGGCGGGACCCGGTGTCAGAGCGACCGCGGCCTTCGGGGCTTCGGGCGGGCAGGGCCGTGGGTGGTGGAGGAGGCGCCGGAAAGAGCCGGCCCCCGGTTCCCGCCGGCGGCGCGGGGGGCGGGCGATCCGCGGGGCTGCCCCCGCTGCGGCCCCGGCACCGCGCCCGGAGCTCCGGGACCCGCTGCTCGCACACCTGCCCCGCGCCGCTCACACCTTGTTCTCAGGTGCCCCCCCGGAGCTGCCGCGTCCCGATCCCGCAGAGTTCAGGGCAGGTTCGCCTCGATGGCGGCTGCCGAGTGTCACAAACCCCCGGCTCGGGACGCGCTCCCGGGCGGGCAGCGGCGGCTCGGGGGATGCGGGTTCCCCCTCCATGCCCGCGCAATTGCCTCCCGCTTCCCTCCCTGCTCCGTGCCCGCCGAGCATTCCCGCCCGGTGCTGAGGACCGGGACCGGGCACGGGGTCACTGCCTGTGCCAGGCCCCTTGGAGGCAGGTTCCTGTAGTCGGCAGGTGATTTTGCCTTGAGCCGAGAGCAGGGACTTTGCTGAGGGGAAGGTAGAAGTCTGGGTGAGATGAGAGCCCAGGGCCGCGGTGGGGAGCGGTGCTGGTGGCCGTTCTTCCCGCGGGAGCAGCCGGTGCCAGGGAAGTGCTGCTGCCGGCGGTGCCGGTTCGGGGGCCGCCTTCCTGCCCTGCACAGCTGTGCGGCACAGCCGATTAGAAACTGCTGTTCCACCCCAGAAATGACTGTGCTTGGCTGCGAGGGCTTCCACAGTGTGAGATAAGGTGCCAGCACCCGGCCCCGCTGAGGCCTGGCTCGGGCGTTGTCAGATACAGCCCATTAGCGGGAGAGCGCCGCGGGGAGCGGTTCAGCGAGCAGCCTCTCGCAGCTTCCCGGAATTACCTGGAAGATGTCCCGGGTCATCTGTCAGCATCAGAAGTGTCCGGCTCACCCTGCCGCGGGGGCCGCAGGGAGCAGCACGGCCACCTCCAGCCCTTGCTGCTGTCCCTGTGCCAGGGGCAACACAACCCGCAGCTGCCCTGAAGCCCCTGAGCTGAGTCGGTTCAGCAGAGGACATTCTGCTGGGGCCACAGCACGGTGGGAGCCGACAGGGAGGCTCTTGCTGGTGGGATTTTGCTGATGCCAGTGTCTGCCCCACAGCTCACGGCCCCTCTCCAGCCGTCTGCCTCAGCGGAGAGCAAATCCTGGGGCGAGCAGCTGGTGGCACAGATGTGGGCTCCCCCCACTCCTGCCAGAGCTGCGCTCCCATCCCGTTCCCAGCATCTCCCCACGGGACGGCGGTGAGACCAGACCCATCCCAGAGCTCACCGTAGCTGAGCGAGCGTGGCAGTGCGGGTCAAACGTCTCTGGGCCGTGGGGCAGCGATGTCCTGCCAGGGAGCATCCCAGCTGCTCCTGCAGCACCAGCGGGAGGATGTGGGCAGCAGGGTCCAGTCCCAGCACCGTGTCCTGAGCTGGGCCCCGTCACGGCTCAGGCCCAGCCCAGGGTGAGGGGGATTGGGCAGTGCTGGTAATCCTGCTGCACTCAAGGGATTACTGCGTGCTCTGGCCTGGGGATTAAGGGATTTCTCTAAGTGGGGCTGATGCAGCCTCCAGCAAAGCGGCTTGTGCCTGGGGGGGCCTCGCTGTCTGGGGCAGGATGGGCTATGCAAGGTGTGGGGGATCCGCTAAGGAGGGTGGGCTGCCGTGTCCCCCAGCAGGCCAGGGGGTTCCCCACCCAGGGCATCCCTGTCCTCCTCGTTGCCAGCCTGCACAGCCCTGTTTTGCCAGTGGGTGCTGGGAACTTCTTGGCACAGGCTCAGCTGTTTCAGAGGCATCCTGGGACCGTGGCATGCCCCTCTGCACCAGGGGACGCTGCTGGGGAAGCTGCCAATGGTGCCCCAGCCCCTTCCCTGGCATGATGTGGGGTGAGCCAGGGCGAGTCGCTGGGCCCAGCCCCGGGGCTCCCAGATGAAGGTGCAGGGACATTGCAGGGGTGGCAGTGGGCTCGGAGAGCAGAGCTGGGTGCTCGGGCAGAGGCAGTTGGCTGGTTCTTCTCCTGAGGTGTTTGGAGCAGAGAAGGATGAGCCCCACTGCTGATGCTCACAATCACACGTCGGGGCCGCAGCCGTGGTTATTGTGACCCAGAGGTGTTTGTAAGCACCCCACCTCACCCAGGCAGGGTGCAAGGACCGAACTGGGCATCTGGATTGCTCTGCATGGGAGGTGCTACCTGGCCCTGCCTCATCCCAGCCACAGCACCCGTGTGCCCTATGGGGGATTTCCAGATGCCAGTCCAGGCCCCGGGCAGGCGCTTGCCACAGCACGTGCCCAGCTCAGCCCCACTGTGTCCCCAGCTCTCTTTGCCTGCCCTTTTGCCTCCCTGCGATGGGGCAACCACTGCTCTGGCCTCTGGGAAAGGGGAAGTGGTGCTGAAAGCAGGAGCTCAGTCACGTCAGTGGCGAACGCCTGGCTGCCCTTGCAGCTCCAGAAGCTGCCCTTCTCCACTGTCTCTCCTTCTGTCTGCAGTCACAGTGCTCCCAGGAGCAGGGACTGCTCCTGCCTGCCAGGGTGCCCTTCCCCACCGCCCACCCCTGGGCTCCTGCCTGCCCCACTTGGGTTACTCCTGGCTCAGCGATCCCAGCGATTGTTGGGGCAGGCGAGCAGAGCTGCTGGGCTGCTCCTGCCCCAACAGGCCCTGGGGTTTGTTACTCATGGCCGTGCCCTGTGCTCAGGATTGCTCCTGCTTTGAGGGAAGGAGCTGTCAGTCCGGTTTGGGTTTGCTCAGTGCTTGTGGGGTAGGAGGGCAGAAGGGCTGTGCCTTTCCCTCGCTCCACAGCTCTGCCTCAGGCTGAGATCCCAGGGCAGGACCCCCCAGTTCATGCTGCAGAAGGAACCCCCCCACACTCCAGGATCAGAGCAGAGTGGGCAGCACCTCTGGGGCATGACCGGGGCTCGGCACTGCCCGTGCCCGCACACAGGGCTGGCTGAGCCTGTCGGGCTGTGCCGGGGTCGGGCTGTGCCGGGGTCGGGCCCTGCGCCCCGGGAGCGGGGGTTGTGATGCTCCCCCGCGCTCCCACCGCCGCGCTGTCTCTGGGTGCACCTTCCTCCGTGCAGCGCTCGTTGCTACGCGACCGCCGGCTCCCGATGCTTAATGCTCTAATACGGAGGGATAAAACCACTCTAAAAATACCCCGCTGCCGGCCCCCTGCGGGGGCAAGGGGGCTGCTGGGGGGCAGGCGGCCTGGGCGCAGGGGCTGCTGGGGACTTCCCAAACTCCCCGTCCTCTAAGTGGCTTTGAGCCGTGGGCCGGGGCTCCGGCAGCCGCTCGGGCTGTTGTGCCGGTGCGGCCGGGATTGGCTGGGACCGGCGCGTGGGCTCCTGCGGCTGGAGCTCCCCTGCCAGAGCCAGCTCCAGCCAGAGCCGGGAGCGCTCCGGCTCCCCTGCCTGCACCCTGCCCCTGGGCCCTGGCACCGGGGAGCCCGCTGCTCGGCCACGTGCACCCGCCTGGCCTCTGCCTGCTGCTACCTGGCCTCTGCCTGCTGCTGCCGGACCTCTGCCTGCGCCTGCCTTGCCCCCCGGGACTGGTGGCATCCTGTGTGGGACCCCTGCAGCATGGGGACGGTCAGCGAGCTCTGCGCCTCCAGTTTCCAGGCCTTCCTCTGCCCCTCGGTGGCTGCCAAGGCAGGTAGGCGCTGCGTGCCCCCCTCCCCTCTGTGCTGCGGGGTCCCCATCCCCCAGCAGGCACAGTGGTGCCCGTGGCTCCAGCTCCATATGGCTCCGGCTCCATATGGCTCCTGCTGACAGCGGCACAGTGTCCTCGCTGCCTCGGTGCCTCCTTCCTTTGCCAGCCTCCCCAGGCTTGGGGCTCTGCAAGCACTGAGCCCCAGCAGGACAGGCAGGCGTGGGCCCCTTGCCTGGCATTGCCCTGTGCTAGAGCCAGTGCCACGCTGGGATGGGGGCTGTTTGGTAGCCAGTGGTGGCGGCTGGGTGGTCACAGGCAGTGTGGCGTGGCCACAGCAGGTCCTGCCCCAGCCCCTCACCCCTGCCCTGCGATGCGGGAGCGCTTGGCTGCCCTCGCCTCGGCGAGTGCCTGTGGCTGTGGGGGCACCTCGGGGTGGCACTCTCCGAAGGGAATTCTGTGTGGGAAACCAGTGCCTGCCATGCGGGGGATGCGCTGAGGGCTGGCTGCCTGCGTGAGCTGCTGCTGCCTGCGGGTTCCTGCCTGGCTGTGGGGCCGGGGGGCTGCACGGTGGGGCAGGGGGCTGCAGGACCTCCTTGGGCAGCCCTGTGGCTGAGCGGCAGCGGGCTCAGCTCCTCCCGAGGCCTGGCATCATGAGCAGTGCCAAGAGCAGATGAGGTGCCTGCCTGGCTGCACTCTTGGCACCTGCACAGTGCCCGATGCCTGTGGACGTGGCCGAGCCGGTGCTCACCTGGCCGTGCCAGGGGTCTGTGTGTGGGAGTGCTGGAGCCACTGGGAGTGAGGAAATGGCTGGGGACAGGGGTTCCCTGCTGGCCTCTGGGTTGTTTTGTGGCAGTGCTGGACAGGCCTGCACAAAAGCAGGACAAGGGCCCTGGGCACAGGGTCCAGCAGCTTTGGAGGGTCTTTCTTGGAGCTGCCTGTTCTGAAACCCTTCTCCTGACGCACCTCGGCTGTCAGTGGGGAAGGAGGGGGCTGACGCAAACCGGGGTGTGCACACAGCAGGGTGAAAACAGGATGTGGTGCGGGGAGACGGGCAGGAAGTTCCTGGGGGCCCCACGGGACCCCACCCCCCACCAAGGGGCACAGTGGGCAGCAGCAGCACCCACAGCAGCACCCAGAGACCCTGGGCTTGTCTCCGTGGTCTGTCTGACCCCGAGGCCGTTGCCCCTCTGGTGTGGCACAGCGGGGGCCAGCAGCACGGCTGGCTGGTGCTGTGCCTCAGGGGGCCAAAGGACATCCCGAGGCTTCTGAAGCCTGCCCTCCCCTCGCTCCATAGCTGGCGTTCCTGGTGCTGTGCTGTGTCTCCATCTGATGCTGCTGAGCAGGATTTAGCTGAGTCAAGGCGGCCGAGGCTGCTGCGGCCTCTCCAGGCAGTGACAGGGGACAGGGACAGGCTGGTTCTCTTCTGCTGTAGCCTCGGCACCGCCAGGCCTGGATTCGCTGCAAAGGGGTCCCGCAGGGAGCAGTGGGGTCCCTGCAGGCACCCTGGAGCAAGGGAGCTGCCATGGACCCTGTGGACCAGTGGTCCCCACAGCTGGCACAGGACCTGGACCTGAATTGGGAGGGGTCTAGCAGAGACAGGGAGGAGCTGCAGGGCAGCGCTGGGGGTCTTTTGGGGTGGGGGGCCCAGCTGGCAGAGGGGAAGGGAGGGGACCCTTCATTGTGCGGCGATCTCAAGATGTGTTGGGTTGAGTGTCCTGGCGGCCCCTGAGGAAGGAAGGGCTGGGCCAACCCCGGGGCCTGCCTGGCTGGGACCCCAGCACACGGAGTCCTCCAGCCCCGGGCCAAGGAGGGGCAGCAGGGCCCTGCTTCCCTGTCCAGCCGGGAGCAGAGGAGTTAAGGAGCTGGCGGCTCTGGCTCATGGCGGCAGGAAAAGGGTGTTGGTGGTGCTGGCTCCCGGCGAGGCCGGGATGACGCCCAGGCGGCCCTGGAGCTCATTGGTGCCGTGGCCCTGAGTCACCGCGGAAGCACCGGGGAGGCAGGAGGCAGGTGCCCGCACCCGGCTCGGCAGCACCTCTGCGGGGCCACCGGCAGCACAGGCAGGGCCAGCAGGGCCAGCGTGGGGCCCTTCAGCCATGGTGCTCAGGGCGGAGGGCAGCGGTGAGCTGGGCTGTGCTGGGCTGTGCTGGGCTGTGCTGGGGTGTGGGGGTGAGGGGCGTGGGTGGCTCTGTGTCTCCCCCATTCCCCTGCCACCGGCCCTGCCCGTGGGCCTCGGGGCAGCGGACAGGGCAGAGCACGGGGCGAGCACAGCCCCTGTGCCACGGGGCTTTGCTTTGGCTGCCATGGGGAGGGGACATGTGCTGTGGCTGCTGCTCCAGGGCGCTGCAGGCCACAGTGAACCCGGAGCCTGAGACAGGTGGATAAATCCTGCCGGTGGCCCTTACTGCTCCTGGGCAGGGTCCTCAGGCTCAGCTGCCGGCAGCAGGAGATGTGGGAGCCCCTGGTCCCCTGTGCTGGTGGGGAGCCCTAACCCCGCTTGGAACCCACGTCTGGTGGGTCACTGTGCGGCTCCTGCCAGGCTGGGGCCGGGGGAAGCTCGTGCTCCAGCCTCCCCATCCCTCAACACTGCTCTGCTCACAGCCAGGCCTGCTGGGGCTCCCCAGGGTGAGTGCTGTGCAGAGCCAGGGAAGGGTTAATGCCTTCTTCCTTCCCCAGAAAAGCTCCTGCGTCTGGGGTTTCTCTTCCTCTGGCTGCTGCTGACATGGCTGGGCCGCTGTCACGAGTGCTCAGCCTCCGCTTGGGAGGGACCTTCCGGGGCTCCGGAACAGCCCTGACATTCCCACTGCCTTGCAGCGTCTCATCCTGCGCCGGGCCTGCCCTGGGGCCGCCGGGACCCCCACCCAGACCCCCACTGAGACCCCCACCCGCTCCCAGGTGGGCAGGGGGAGGCAGCGCCGAGGGCTCCCCTTGGCCCAGCTCCAGCCCTGGCACTGAATTTGACCTTCCCTGCAGCCAGACAGAAGGGTCCTGCAGCCAGGTGAAAGGGTCCTGCGGCACACGCAGCAGCCCAGGGGTTTGGGGGGTTCTGTGTCTGGCAACGCAGCTCATCCCTCCTGCAGTGAGCCTGGGCTCGCTGGGCACCCTGGGGGCTGGGCACGGGGGGCTGGTGCTGGTGGCAGCAGCACTGGGCCGTGTGGAAGGCGCTCGGATGCATCGACACAGCTCTGGTATTTATTAGAAGTTTAAGTAACTTTTAACCTGGTGCCACGAGCAGACTTGTCTGGTTCGGGCTTCCTGACGCGGGAGACTGAAAATACTGGGAAGTGCTGCCGTGGGGTCTGAGGCACAGTGTCGCAACCTCAGCCTTGGCAGCGAGGTGGTTGCGAAGGAAGAAGCTCATCAGAAACCGGAGCAGGGCGAGGGAAGTGCTGAGCTCAGAGATTCAGGGTGTGGGGTCACGGTCACCCCAGGGAGGCTCCCTCGGAGGCGGCGCGGGGAGAAGGAACGTGCAGCTGAGGATGGTGCCGGTCCAAGGGCACACGGTGTCCCTGGGCGCTGGCACAGGGCAGTGACCGTGCCGTGGATGCCCCGGTGAGTCTGGGCTGGCAGCGGTGGTGGCCTGGAGCCCACGCGTGTGGTGGCACACGGGACATCAGGGGGATGGAGGGTAATGCTTGGGGCAGGGGAGGATGTGACAGCCCCACAGGTTCCTGTCCCCAGCACCCCGGGGTGGGAGGTGGGGATGACACGAGAGCTGAGCCTGCTGGTGCTGCTGCCACCTCCCCTGGGGCCTGTGCTCTGTGGGGACGGTGCTTTGGTGTCCTTGCGGGCGACCTTGGTGCAACGTGTGGAGCTCTTTGGCAGAGGTGGGAGACACAGGCATAGGAGGAGAGCTGGGAGCACTGCTGGAGGAGCAGGTGACCTTGGCAACTGGAGGGAACAGGAGTGGCATACCTTGTCACTGCGAGCCAGGAGGTCACGCTCCAGGGAGCACCAGGAATGTTCTGGGAGCAAGGGGGGGGTGCAGCTGCCCTGTGGTTGAGCCTCAGATGTTGTTGGGGAGGGAGTGCCTGGCTCCCTGGGGTGACAGGGAGGTGTAGACATCATGGTGTGCAGGAGGGTGTGCCAACTCCAGGCCCTGCCCTGGAATGATGGATCCAGCACAGAGTGGGCTGCAGGGATTGCTGGGAGTTGGTTTGTGTTTGGGGCTGGCCCGGTGTGGCAGAACAACCTGCGGGGCTCCAGGTCTGCGTGGAGCCCATGCTATGGGGCACAGCAGAGCTGCCCAGCCAGGGAAGGGCCCAGGATGGGTACCCACACCAGCCTGGCTGGGGTAGAGCAGAGTGAAATGGGACATGGGGGGGCACCAGGGCCAAGGCTGGTGCTGGAGCTGGTCTGGGGGCTGTGCTGGTCCTCACTGCGCAGCTGCCATGGGCTGAGCCAGCAGGACCCCGTGGTGCCCAGCTCTGGGGCGATGCCCTGGCCCTCGCATTCCTTGCATGCCGTCAGTGCCACTTGGCCGCTGCGCAGGGCTGGGGACTGTTCCTCAGCCCAGCTCCTCTGGGCAGCTGGCAGCTCCACGTTCTGGTTCCATCCAGGCCCAGGACTGCCAGCTGAGAGCAGAGGCTGTGCCAGGAGCACGTCAGGGCTGATTCCCAGGGCCACACGTGCTGACCTGGCCGTATCTCTGCTCAGTGCCCAGCGACCTGACCCCAGAGGAGTGCCAGGAGCTGGAGAACATCCGCCGCCGCAAGCAGGAGCTGCTGGCTGACATACAGGTCTGGTGCTGAGGGGTGACACTCACACAATTCCCCTGTCTCACAGAACAGCCTGAGAGGCAGAGGACAATCTCCCTGCTCACGTCACTGGCAGGGTCCCTGCAGCCCCATCCAGGGTCCCTCAACCCACTGCCCCACAGCAGTGCCTCCAAGGGTCCCTGGGTACAGGGAGAGGGTCCCATTGGGGTGTGATCCCGGGTGGCAGCCATTAGGGTTGCTCTGCTCTGCTCTGCCCTGCCGAGGCAGCCGTGGCTTTTTTGTGGCTTTTCCTGTGCCTGCAGAGCTCCAGGCCGTGCAGTTGTGCCGTGCCCCGGAGCACTGGTGTCTGTGCCAGCCCCTGCCTGGCATGGGCAGGGACCGTGTCTCTGGGCCAGGCCACTGCCCTGGCAAGCGCCTGCGAGGTCAGAGCTCATCTGGGACACTGTCAGTCCTGTCCCCGATTAAGAAGGCAGAGGCTAATTACTGCCATATGCTGGGCATGATCTGAAGGGATTAGGGGTAATTTTGTTAACCTCCGAATCTCTTCCTTCCTGTGTGCTGGGAGTTGTGATGCTGCAGGGATTAGGGGGGGGATGGCGGGGGGGCAGCCAGCCCATGCCCCCTGAGCTGGTTCAGCCCCAGGGCAGTGCTTGAGGGCGGGAGGGGGATGGAGAGAAGAAAGAAAGAAAGGAGGGTCTGCAGGGCTTCCTGGGGGAATGGGGCTGCCTCCAGGGCTGAGGTCTGGAGGGTTTGGGGTGGAGACCCCTCCAAAGTGCCCTCTCCCCACAGCGCCTGAAGGATGAGATAGCAGAAGTGACGAATGAGATCGAGAACCTGGGCTCCACGGAGGAGAGGTGAGTCCTGGCCCAGGGCCCCCCTGAGCCCCCTGTGGTGCCGTGTGGGACCCGAGGGCAGCTGAGCCCTGGCCCATGAGTACTGGTGTGGGCGGCTTTCCCAGGCGCTCTGGGCTCCTGGGAGTGGGATCCCAGGCTCAACTGCTGCTCCCAGGTCTGTTTTCCTAAGCCCCAGCCCCTCTGTCTGGACACAGCCGCTGTCTGGCTTTGTTTTCTGAGCTGGTGCAGGCGGTGCCAGCCGGGATTAGGGGTCCCAGCAGCTGGCGGGAGCCGACTCCCAGCCTCAATCACCCACTGGGGCATGAAGGCTGTCCCCTCCCGCCAGCCCCTCTGCTCTCCCAGAGCCCCTCAGGCAGCTTACCCGAGCCTCCCATGCACGGCTGACCTGGCAGGTGTGGTACCTGCACCCCCTCTGTTCAGGGTGACCCCAGGAGTGGGTGCAGCAGCTCCGCTCTGCTCTGGGGCCCGGCAGGCCAGGAGCAGCCCTGGGGCAGACGCGAGCAGTGTGTCAGCTTTGCCCTGCAGGGGCCAGCGTGGGGGCCTGGCTGGGCTGACCCTCGGGCAGTGCACTGCACCAGGGGCCGGGCAGGGGCTGCAGGTCCCTGCTGGATGCTCAGAGCTGCTTCGTGCCTTGCAGGAAAAACATGCAGAGGAACAAACAGGTGGCGATGGGCAGGAAGAAATTCAACATGGATCCCAAGAAGGTACCGTGGGGTGGGAGGCAGGGCTGGTCACCAGCCTCTGAGACCATGCTGGGCTCTGCCACCTCCCAGTCTGGATGCCTGAGCCAGGGCAGAGCCCGTGGGCAGGGGCTGGGGTCAGCAGACAGGCTGGTGGAGGCAGCAGCAGACCTCTGAGTAGCCCCTCTTTCTCCAGGGCATCCAGTTCCTGATTGAGAATGACCTGCTGAAGAACACGTGCGAGGACATCGCTCAGTTCCTGTACAAGGGGGAAGGCCTCAACAAGACGGCCATCGGCGACTACCTGGGCGAGAGGTGTGCTGGCCTCGGCTCTCCTGGGGATGCTCTGGGCTCCTGCTGCCTGACAGATGGGACACTGCAGCTCTGAGCTCACAGGGCAGCCAAGTGGGGGTACCCGGTGTGCTGGGGGCAGTTGGGGGTGTTCGGTCCATGGCTGGTGTGTGCAGATGAGCCCAGGACACGAGCTGGGGGCAGCTGCAGCTTCCCCCCATGAACGAGCGGAGTTTGGAGCAGGGCAGGGGCGGTGGGGCTGCTCGGCAGTCACAGGATTGCTGATCACGCATCCCTCGAGCTCTGGCTTTGTTCCCGCAGGGATGAGTTCAACATCCAAGTCCTCCATGCCTTTGTGGAGCTGCACGAGTTCACCGACCTCAACCTCGTGCAGGCCCTGCGGTGAGCGAGGGGCAGGAGCTGAGTGTGGGGCCGTCTGGGGGATGGTGGGGGACCGTGATGGGCCGAGGGACCGTGGAGCCCCCAGATCAGCGCCACAACCTGCTCTCCACAGGCAGTTCCTGTGGAGTTTCCGGCTGCCCGGGGAGGCGCAGAAGATCGACCGGATGATGGAGGCCTTTGCGCAGCGGTACTGCCAGTGCAACCCCGGCGTCTTCCAGTCCACGGGTGAGCACCTGCCCCAGACCCTCTCCCTGGCATCCTGCCCCGCAGCTGACTGTCCCTTCTGCCCCCACAGACACGTGCTACGTGCTCTCCTTCGCCATCATCATGCTGAACACGAGCCTGCACAACCCCAACGTGAAGGACAAGCCCACGGCGGAGCGATTCATCGCCATGAACCGCGGCATCAACGACGGGGGAGACCTGCCCGAGGAGCTGCTCCGGGTGAGGGCCAGGGCCTGGAGGGGCCAGGGCCTGGAGGGGCCAGGCTGCAGAGCTGGCCTGGAGCAGGGCCTGCCGCAGGGCTCCAGGGCAGAGCAGAGCTGACACCGTGTGTCATTGTACCAGAATCTCTATGAGAGCATCAAGAACGAGCCCTTCAAAATCCCTGAGGATGATGGCAACGACCTCACCCACACCTTCTTCAACCCCGACCGGGAGGGCTGGCTCCTGAAGCTTGGTGAGTGCTGGTGGCCAGGGAGGGCAGGGTGTCCCCAGGGACAGACCTGGGACATGGGTGCAATGCCTCTGGGCTTCCCACACTTCTCCTGCTGCCCTGGCTCTTTGGAGCTTGAGGAGGCTGCAGAGAGAGGCACAGCCCCCTCGGGAAAGGTGTCCATACATCCAGCCCTCCATCTTCCCTTGGCTGGGCAGCAGGAGTGAACTCAGAGCTGAGGAGGCCCTGCAGAGTGGCTGGGTGGGCATCCCAGGGGATTCTGCCTCTAGGTTGGGCAAGCCCCCGGGGTGCAGAACTGTTACCAAGGTCCAATGTCGGAGCACAGAGACCTTGAGGCCCTTCAGGTCACCGAGTCACAGCAGGGTGTGTCAGAACAGGCCCCTGGGAGTGAGCAGAGAGCTGCCCCAGGCTGCGTGTGTCCCCCCTCCATGCCACAGACGAGCCCCTGCCTCACCTTCCCACAGCATTATCACCTCTGCATCCCAGCTCCACATGCAGGCAGCGTGCATGGCATCCCTGCTGCACCGCCCGGCTCCCGCAGCCGGAGCCCTCCGCGCCCTGGCTCCTGTGGCTTCTCTTCTCAGCACCTCTGGGGAATCCTCTGCGTGGGTCCAGTGGGGGGGGACGGGTGCTGGCAGGATCGGGGTCCAGTGGGGCCTTTCCCCGGGGTTCTGGCTGGGGTCAGGATTCCTGATGTATGGCCATCGCCTTGGGAGGGGGAGGGACCTTATCCCTGGCCCAGGGGATGAGCAAGAGCCACCTGCTCCCCACCCTGAGGTGGGGGGACTCGGGGAACAGCTCCAGGCTCTCCTGTCCCTGACAAGGCCAGCGCCCAGCAGGTGGAGGGGCCTGGTGCACAAAGGTTCACGTTGGCACTGCCACTATGGGTGGACAGGAGGGCAGAGAGGCAACAGAGTGGCCGTGGACCCCAACTCACTTGTGGGGAAGGGAGAGACCCCGTGGGTCAACCATGGGGTGGAGGGATCCAGGCCCTGTGCCCGGCAGCTGAGGAGCCCCATCCCACAGAGCCACAGTGAGCCAGGGCAGTCGGCCCCCACGGCCACGCCGCCAGCCTGACCCCTCACAGCTTCCCTGCTGCAGCCTGGCCCCACTGACCCGCAGGGCAAGGGGGGGCTTTGGGATTCCTCTTTTTTATTTTTTTTCCCTTTTTTTTTTTTTTAATTTTCTTTTCTCCCTCATTTGTATGTTTCCATGATTTTGGCTCTTCCTTTCCCTGCCCCCCAACTCCAGGAGGTACGTACCCCTCTCCCGTGCTCTGCTCACACTGCTGGGGCTTCGTTTCCTTTGCGTTTTTAATTGCTGGTGATGATCTCATTGCTGCTGCTGCTGCTGCTGCTAACCCCGCACGCCCGGGGCCCTCGCCTGCCACGGGACAGCACTGGGACAGCACTGCTCTGCCCCCGGGCAGGGACGTGGGCTGTGGCCCCACACTCTCCTCAAGGCCTGCGGCCTCCTCCAGCACCCTGGGGGAGGACAGGGCCACAGTGGCTCCTTGCCCAGCTGCTGGCCGGGGTGTCCCTCCCGGCCGTGCTTCGCCGTGTCCGCAGGCAGCTCAGCCTGGTCAGTGTGTCTTCGGTGCCACGAGGGATGGGAATGGGTTTGGTGTGTCCTCAGCAAGGACTGTGCGCGGGGTGCTCGGGGGTGCCGAGTGCCTGGAGCTGGATGGAAGGGGGCAAGAGCCGCCTGCATGGTGCCCTGTGCTGTGCCGAGGGCTCACAGCAGTTCCTGTGCCAGCACCGGTGCTGCCCCGGCTCCAGCACCTGCACCCCAGCGTTGGTGCTGGCTCTCGGGACTGCTGTGGGGCAGGGACTGGGGCGGGCACCCAGCTGGCATGGGGGAACAGGGGACACAGTGCACACCGTGGCTCCCCATGTCCCTGCCAGAGCCAGTCCTCAAGGGTGGGTGCTCATCCCACATCTAGCACTGTTGCAGTGGCTGCGGTGGAGGGGAGCCCAGCCCAGGGGTGAGTGGCCCCTGTGCCCGTGGAGTGGCTTCTCCCACTGTGGTGGTGGCTGCAGAGCTCAGCCGTGGCTCAGCACTGGGACGAGGGGGGACCATGGTCGGTATGGACAGAGAGTCCCCATGTCCCCCGGGGAGCTGCCTGGCTGCGGTGTCCTCTGGCTGTGCTGAATTCGTGTTTGGGTGGGAACGGGCTCAGCACTCCCGGCCCGGCGCCCCAGCCTCGCCTCCGTCCTCATCCGTCTGCTTCCCGCTCCGGCTCGGTGCAGTGTGTGCTGCCTGCTGCTGCTGCCTGGCTCTGCTTGGCTCTGTGTGCTGCTGGAGCCCGTGTGTGTCCGCCTGGCTCCCATGTGCCATGTGCCCTGTGCCCGGCTGCGCCCCGCAGGGCTGTGCCCGACTGTCCCTCTCTGCTCCCAGGAGGCAGGGTGAAGACATGGAAGCGGCGCTGGTTCATCCTGACCGACAACTGCCTTTACTACTTCGAGTACACGACGGTGAGTGGGCTCTGCGTGGGGCGAGCCAAGCCGGGGCAGGGCAGGGGCTGGATTGGGAGTGTCCATCCCACAGCTAAACCTCTGCTTGGCCGTGCCAGGATAAGGAGCCCCGTGGCATCATCCCCCTGGAGAACCTGAGCATCCGTGAGGTGGAGGACTCGAAGAAGCCCGTGAGTGCTGCAGCAGTGTCCTGTGGGCTTGGGGGTAGCCTCGGTGCTTTGGCTTGGGCGGGGAAAGCTGGGAGGTGTTGCAGCCCCCCAGGATGCCCCTAGGAGGGGTGGGGGGCCCCGCAGCAGTCACTGCCCCTCCACCCTCACAGCGACCAGGTGCAGACCTGGGGCCAGTCACTGCAGTGACCAGGACTGGTGGCAGAGCTTGTGCAGGGCCATGGGGTGATGATCACGGTGTGTCCATCCCTCTCTACCACGCTGAGGGTGGTTGTGCTGGGGGAACGCGGCTCTGCCTCATCCCTCCCAGCCTGGGGTCCCCTGTGGAAGGGGAGGGGGCAACCTCTGAGCGGTCTTTCCCTCCCAGAACTGCTTTGAGCTCTACATCCCTGACAACAAGGACCAGGTGATCAAGGCCTGCAAGACAGAGGCGGATGGGCGTGTGGTGGAGGGGAACCACACTGTGTACCGCATCTCTGCCCCCACACCTGAGGAGAAGGAGGAGTGGATCAAGTGCATCAAGTGAGTGCCCAGAGGAGTGTGTGGGGGCACGGTGCTGGGCAGGGGCACAGCGGGGACTTGCCTGCTGCCCTTGAAGGGGACAGTGCTTCCCGGGGCACCCTGCAAGAACGGGGGGAGTGAGCTTTCCCAGGGACATAAAGGGACGTGCCCAAGCCCCGGCCAGGCAGGTCACACCCAGCCCTGCAGTAGTTTGGCCTGACCCAGCCTTTGTTCCCCTGCCAGGGCAGCCATCAGCCGGGACCCCTTCTACGAGATGCTGGCTGCCAGGAAGAAGAAGGTCTCCTCCACCAAGAGGCACTAGCAGCCAGATTGGCCTAGTGAGGCCAGCGTGCCCTCGGCAGCCCGAGCGTCCCCCTGTCCCGGGGGTCTGTGGGGCGGGGGCTGTGCTGCAGCCTGGCCCTCAGGGTCCAAGGCCCAGCTTCAGCTTCACTGTTTCTTTTCCGTGGGGGGAGGGAGGGGGCACAGGCATCTCCGTGCCTCTGGCCATCCATCGCTGCCTCATCGCCAGGACAGTGTCTTCATGGGCTCAAGCTGGGGCACAGCACCCCTGGGAGCTCCAGCCTCAGCACCACAGGCACCCTCCCTGCTCCTGACCCCCAGCTGCAGCCCCCCAGCACCCGTGTCCAGGCACTCGGGGTGTCCCGTCAGGAGGATGAGCAGCTGTTAGTGAGTAGCTGGCAGTTTTGGGGTGCCACAGGTGCTGGGGTGCGAGGCATCGGGCCCAGGGAGGCCCTGCAGAGACACAGCTCCCGGCCCTCGTTGTAGCGGGCCTGGGTCTGTCCCTGGTGTCCCCGTGCTGCTGCCTCAGAGCCTCACAGCTGCCCCCTGCCCCAGGAGCGGTCCCCATGGGCACGGGAGTGCCCAAGGGCAGGGGCTGTCACCATCACGGTCTGCAGCGGTGCCACACAGGGCACAGACGTGCCCTCGTCCAGCCACGGGGGTTGTGGCTCGGGTGAGTTGGCACTGGGTGGCATTGCCCCTGGCACATCCTTGCAGCACAGTCCTCTCATACCAGGGTGGCATGGTGCCGTGGTGGGACGTGCCCAGAGCTGGAGCCTGCCCTGAGAATGGCTGTGGCGGGGGTCTGGGTGGGTGGGGGCTGCAGCCCCCCACTCTCTGCCTCACAGTCCGCCCATGTCACGTCCTGTCCCTGTCCCCGCGCATGGTCTGGAGACGCCTGGATCAGTATTAGTCTATTTATCAGAGGTGTAAATACTCCTGTATAGTTTTCTCCTTGTAGATTATTTTGTATGTGGGTGGTTCAGTGCAGAGGCCTCGCAGGGCGGGGGGGGGCAGGATTTTTTATTCTAACTTTTTTTTTTTTTTTTTTTTTTGCCATGGCCTTGTAAACTAGTGCTGAGGATTGGCAGCAAATAAACACTGCACTGCGCTCCACTTGGCCTCCTGTGCTCTGTGTGCAGCTCGGCGTGGGCAGGAGTCCCGTGCCCCCCGTCACTGCCAGCTCCTGCCCTGTGCCTGGCCTTGAACCAGGCTCGTGCTCCTCTCAGCCCGAGGTCTCGTTACCGGCACCGCAGCGATGCCACATCAGAGGAAGTGGCAGCACTGGGGCCAGTGCAGGTCTTGTTTTGAACCTCTGCCTGCTCCACTTCAAAGCCCCGTGTTTTCTTGGTGTCCTGGGGGTGTTTGTGAGCCTTGTGCCCTCACCAGCTGCCCCTGGCCAGGACGGTGCCTTGGGGACCTTGCCACAGGGCGTGGGTGGCTGTGCTGGGCTGGGACGACTCCTGGTCCTGCATCCTGCTGTGCAGTGGGTCTGGCACCGAGCTTGGCTGGGCAGGGGGGTGGTTGCCCACCACGGTGGCACTCACTGCACCATTCCAGGGGCCTGGGACAACAGGAGTGGTGGGGCATGCACTCAGGTACCTCGTTCTGCAATGGGGCTGGGGGATTCATACCCGGCTGGTACCAGCTGTGAATGGGATCAAAGCCAAGTTGGAGACGGGGGCAAGCCGGGAGCACAGAGCCTGTGCCAGCCCTGCTGCTGCCACCAGGGCGGGGTGGCTGGTCCAGCCTTGCACACTTGTGCCATGGTGGGGTCTGCCAGAGGCAAGGGCATTCCCTGACAGAGCCAGGGGCATTCCCTGCTGTGGTCTCTGCCCTCTCTGTGCCTCAGATGGGGCAGCCCTTGGCACTGTGGCCTGAGTCGGGCCAGGGTGGCCACCAGCCCTTGCTGAGGGATGAGGATGTGGTGGGGCAGAGGGCAGCCCTGCAGTTGGGCTGGTGCTGGTGCCGGTTGGGCTGGTGCTGGGCTGGTGCTGGGGTCAGTTGGGGCACAGACTGTGTCGGTTGAACCACAGATGGTGTCAGTTGGGGTGCAGGCGGTGGCTGGAGGCTGTTGGAGGGTTGAGGGGTGAGGCAGAGCAGGGGAGCAGTAGAGCCAGGTAGGATTGGGGTGAGCCAGGGGGGCAGTGGGGCCAGGCAGGGGTGGGGCAGGTTGGGGGGCGATAGGACCGGGGGTAATGAGGACCGGCAGGGATAGAGCAGGACGGTGGCTGATGGGACTGGGGGTGACGAGGACCGGCAGGGTTGGGACCGGCAGTTCCCCGTGAGACTGCATGTGCACAGGGAAGGCTGAGGGCAGTGGAGGGGTGGGACGG